GTCCAAGCCGTCATGGCCTCCACAGCTGGCTACATCGTCTCCACCTCCTGTAAGCACATCATTGATGACCAGTAAGTGCTGTGAGACCACATCTGTCCACGTTCCAGCACCTCTGTGTGTGTGTGTGTGTGTGACCCTGAGTATCCCAGGCCTTCCAGGGGACTCCTTCAGTGGTCACTTGGGCCTGAGCAAGTTAACTGCAATAGCTGCAATTCAACACCTGGGGATAAATTTATCCTCATCCTGTCCTTAAAGGTCAGAACCAGAAGGAGGAATGGGGGTCAAAAAGGATTCTCAAAGCAGCTCCTAGACTTCCTGGCCTCTTGTATCATAGTAGGTTCTGAACGTTGTCTTCTCCCTTACCTTTTCCCGTCTTTACACCCCGCAGGCCCTGTTTCCAACCAGCATGCAACTGAGGTGCCTCCCTCCTCAGGACGGGCTCACCCCTCACCTCCTCCCAAAATCCAGGTGTCCAGCCCCAGCTCTGTGCAGAAGAGGGAGATGAGAGGAGAGAGATGAAAATGACAAACAAGGCCACTAATGGTTAGGCAGTGGGGTGTGTGTGTGTGAAGAGGCCAAAATTTGGCACTGGCAGCTGCTGCAATGCCTGGTGCTTGCCGGGAAAGCCCAGGCCTCAGTGGTGGGGCAGGAGGAGGAAGGAGAGGGGCCCTGTCCGTGGTGCTGACGGGCCAGCTCTAGGTGACCCATGGGCTGCTGCAGTGTTGCCTTTGAGGGTGCTGACGACATCCCATGCTTAACTTCTGGCCCTGCTCCCTTCTCTGGCAGCCACTGAGCCCCAGGGACACTGTCTGGATGACCCTTACCTGGAGGCGCCCCCTCTTCCCCTGCAGATGAGTTCCTTCATCTGTGGAGTGAGGTCCATCCCTGCCTGGAATAGCTGCTGTGAGGAGGAATTGAGTTGTGTGTGTCAAATGCCCAGGGCAGTTCTGGCTCATACACAGTGGATACTTAACTCTTTCTTCAGACCCTTCCTGATGACTTGGCTTCTTCCTGCCCTCTCCCCACTTCCCACCCTTGGGTCCAAGATGAGCCTGGATCCCTGCACACTTCCTCCTCTTGCCTTCTTACCGAGGTCACCTTCCGGCTCTTACATTTCTTTCCCCCCAAGTCTGTTTTTGTCCCTCCTCCCTTTAATCCTCAGGTGGGTGGGAAGGATCAGGGTTAATCCAGGGGCAACAGCTGTTCCTCCTTCTGAGCACCTCATTGCTGAGAAGGGGGTTAGCCTTTCACACTGCAGCCCAGGGCCTGGTGGTCCTGGTCCCCTCACAGCCAGTGGTCCCAGTGTGTCTGCTGCAGCCAGCTCTCTCTGGGCCTCTCCCTGCTCTAACTTCTCTCAGGCCAGTTGGACCCCTTTCCATTTTCCTGCCCTCTAACCTGGGCTGCACCTCCCTTCCCTCTCTCTCTCACTCCTGGTCACACACTCCAGCATGGGTCTCAGCTTCTCTTTTCCTGAAATCATGCCTGTTAGAGTGGGCTGCCTGCTTCCTTCCAGGCCAGCCACCCCCAGGCTCACATTCTGCTTCCATCTCACCCCCAGGCCTTAGCTGGCCTCCCGCCAGAGCTCACTCCACTTCTCCCTTCAGCAGCTCATCATATTTGGTCTCAGTTCTTTTTGTGTTTCACTTCTGGATGACTTTGCTTTTGTCCCTCCACCTACCTGGGTGAGTTCCCCTGGGCCTGCCTCTTTGACCTCCCACCCCCATCTCAGACCTGTCACCGGACTACAGGATTTAAGAGAAGGTGCTCAATGTGCTGATTCAAGAAGAAAAATGCAATGTTGCATATTCATGCACTTTTCATTTTTGTTTACTCTCAAAGTACATAGAACTTTATCTGCTCTTGGCTCCTTTCGCTCAGCATTTTCTCCCTAATGCTTGGCTGGGCCTGAAAAAACAAGAGATTGGGCCACATTCAGGCAGAACAAGCACCACTGACAGCACCAGCAACTCGCCCAACGGGGCCTGTCTGTGACACCTGTCTTGAATCTTCTAGGAGACAGCAGGGCTGAGAGCAAGAGCTATGGGGCCAGACTTCTCATGTTTATTCCTTGGTCAGGTTACCTAGCCTCTCGGTTTCCTTATCTGTAAAATGGGGATGACAACCATACCTACTTTTTATAGGGCTTTTGTGGGGCGTAAATAAGTTTATGCAAAAAAAGATTTAGAATATTAGAATAGTGCCTGGATGCAATAAGCAGTCACTTAATGTTAGCAAATATGATCTCTCTCCATCTCTCACCTCTTCTGCTATTTATCCTAACCTCGGCTGTCTCTCATATCTCACCTGAGCTTGTTTTCTCACTCCACCTCTGCCCTTGGGTCTGTGGCTGTCTTTGGTCTGTCTGCTTTTTTCTCCCACCAACTTGCAGACAGAGAGAGAATACGAATGCGTGAATAGGAAAAATGGGTGGTTCTGAGGTTAGACAGGCTGGGTGTGAATCCCAGCACTACTGCTTACCAGCTGTGTGACCATGTGGCCTTGGGCAAGTTTCTCGCTCTCAACCTGTGGGTTCCGTCATGTAACTTGGGAGTCCACTTCCATCTCCGGTTGTTGTGACTATCACTTGAGATCTGACTCATGTGATGCATCTACACTGACCCCAGCACCTGGAGCTGCTCTGTCCATCTCCCGTCCTCCTTGATCCCTCTCTTTCTCTTTTTCTCTGCCCAACAGACACTGGCTTTCCTCTGCTTACACGCAGTTTGCAGTGCCCTACTTCATCTATGACATCTACGCCATGTTCCTCTGTCACTGGCACAAGCACCAGGTCAAGGGGCACGGAGATGAAGCGGGAGCCAAAGCCTCGGGCAGCACCTGGGCTGTGGCACGCGGCTACCTGCACAAGGAGTTCCTCATGGTGCTCCACCATGCCGTCATGGTGCTCGTGTGCTTTCCGCTGTCGGTGGTGAGTTGGGAATGCTGAGAGCCAGGGCCCCCATGTTCTGCTCCTGCCAGCACTGCAGAAGACTCTGAAGCCCTGAGTCCAGTTTGCAGCAGCCGGGCGGGCCCAGAATGCAGGGTCCATCGAGGATTTACTGAGCACCAGACCAGCCCGACAGCAAGAGGGTCTGCGGTCAGCCTGGCCTGCTGGACCATACCCAGCTGTGGTGCTTTGGAGCTGCTGTCGTATGTCTCTGAGGCTCAGTTTCCTCATTTATAATATAAGGTATAGAGTCTTACCTGTAGGGTTGTGGGAGGGACACAGCGAGGTAAGGCTCCTGGCTTTGTTACCGCACACTGTTCAGACTTTCAGAGTTAAGCATCTCCGAAAGTGACAGAGAGGAGAGAGGGAGGGCAGGCACTACCCAGGAATCCAGGGTGAGGCCAGGCTGTTTCCTTTCTCTCTTCTCAGGTGTGGCGTCAGGGCAAGGGAGATTTCTTTCTCGGCTGCTTGCTGATGGCAGAGGTCAGCACCCCCTTTGTCTGCCTTGGCAAAATCCTCATCCAGGTGAGAGGGTACCTGAGGCTATATGAGCCTGACAGGAGGACACGGGTAGGGCAGGCACTTTTAGGTACTTTCAGGGATTCTTTAAAGGACAGGCAAACTGTCAGGTCTGGGAGGGGCTTTGGGCGGGGTAGAACAGAGGCGGCAGAATGCGGGGAGGCAGCTTCTGGGGCCTTTAAACTGGCCCTTGTCGCGACGGGAAAGGCAGGGAGGTGGGCGGGGCGGGGAGGCGGGGCCCGGGGGCTGAGCCGGGGGCACGCCCCTGCGCCCTGACCCCGCCCCCTGCTCTCTGCCCCGCCCCCTCCCGCAGTACAAGCAGCAGCACACGCTGCTGCACAAGGTGAACGGCGCCCTGATGCTGCTCAGCTTCCTCTGCTGCCGGGTGCTGCTCTTCCCCTATCTGTACTGGGCCTACGGGCGGCACGCCGGCCTGCCCCTGTTCGCAGTGCCTCTCGCCATCCCGGCCCACGTCAACCTGGGCGCCGCGCTGCTGCTCGCCCCTCAGCTCTACTGGTTCTTCCTCATCTGCCGCGGGGCCTGCCGCCTCTTCCGGCCCCGGGGCACCCCGCCGCCCTCTCCTTGCCAGACCAAGGACTGAGGGTGGAGCCAGGGGACTCTCCCCACTCCCCTCCCCCTGTGGGGACAAGGCCCTGGGCTGCTGGGTGGGTGGGGGGAACCAGGGGCCTCTTGCTCTGACAGCCCCAGGAGTGACAGATGGACTCCAAAGGGGTGGGGACATCTCCCCTCAGGGCCTGAGTGAAATGGAAGGCAGGGAGAAAGGACCTCTTCTCCCCACTGTGCCTGAGCTGAGGGTAGCGAACCCCTTCCTGCATACCCGCTTCTTCTATACCAACCCTGGGGCCCTGGAGAAGGGAAGGACAGAGAAAGGGGCACCACTTCCCATCCGCTGAGGGCTTGAGGGCTGTGAGGAGACCGATGGGGACCCAAGGGGACCAGGAGTCAAAGAACATGGGGGAGGCCCTGATACCAAGGCCATCCCAGCACCCCTGCTGCAAACTCTCTCAGCTCCCTGTCATCTTGGAGGGAGGGGACCCCAACGAATCCCATGGGCCTCGTGTGGGGGTTGTTGCCCACACAGCTCCTCTCCAAGGGAGGCCAGCCTGAGGAGTCTTATTTATTTATTCACCCAAATTCAAACTAGTTTGTTGGGGTGGGGGGAGGGAGGTGGCTTCTCCCCCCTCAGCCTTCCCAGCACTGAGTAACCCCGGGGGCAGGTGAGGGGCGCTGAGCCCTTCCCCGTCAGGCTGCACATCTTGCTCTCGGGCCCTGGCATGTCCCTGGTGCTACGCATCTCTCAAGGCTTCCTCCAGTCTGGGGTCAGGGGGACCCTGGGAGGTGCTTTACAGACTGCTAATAAAGATGATCTGTGTGACCGCCACCAAGGCCCTCTTCACCCAGTTCTTTGGGGCTGGGAAGGGAGCAGCGGGGGCAGGGAGGAGACTGGGAATAGAAAGCACTGATGACCATAGGATGGGGCAAGACCCCCTGGCTGATCACTGAGCAGTCAGGGAAGAAAAAAGCAAGGATGTTTATTCATCACCTGGAGACGAGGGCAGTTTTGGGCACTTGGCAGAGTGCAGGGCCCTTGTCCAGCTCTTTAGGCCCCTTTCTGGCAGCTCCTATGGGGTAAGGAGATCAGAGGTGGGAGGTCACACACTGCCTCCCTAGGCTTTTGGGTCCTTCAGCCTTTCCCAAGGAAGGCTGAGGTGGGTGGGGCCAGGAGCAGGGGGGAAGTCCTTACATGTGCGTGCAGAACTGGAAAAGGAGGAAGAAGAAGGCCAGTACCAGAGCACCCACCAGGATGTGATGGAAGAACTCAGACTTGGAATCTGCTAGACAAGGAGGGGAAGACGGGGACTCTGGCCTCATCGCCAACAGAAGGGTCAAGGGCAGCTTTCCTCCAGGCCCTGGCAAGGAGGAAGGCCCCTTCTCAAGCTGGTTCATACCTGAGTTATCAAAGACGACAGGTCTCTCTCCAATAAACTGGGCCAGTGCCAGGAGCCTGGCTTGGTCCAAGTCTGGGTAATCAAAGAAGTCAGTTCCATCTATGAAGAGCGGAGGCTCTGCTTCTGGGGCCAAGATCTTGGCACTCTCCGGGCTGGGTGCTGAGGGCCCAGAGCAAAGTCTATGGCAAAAGCTGAGCAGACCCCTGTCTCCCACCCTAAGAGACTGAGGCAGACCCACGCAGCCTTTGCATGGCTATGGAGGGGATTGATTTTGTTCCAAGAACTTCTCGAGGATCAGCTCAGTTCTCCATGGGAAGGCCCACGTTGGATGGGGAGGATGGGAGAGAAGCATGGAACACAAAGAGAAAAGCCCAGGCTTGGCACCCCCTGCCCCTCAGGGGGCTTGACCCTTTCCCCCCAAGCCTTCCTCCTTCCCACTGCTCCCAGGACAACTTCCCACCTGTTTCTGTGGCTCCTAGCCCAACCAGCCACACCCACCCCCACACCCACTGCCACAGCCTCATGACCCCTCCACTCCTGTGGCAGGGGTGGAGGCTCTATGATGTCACAGCCTGGAGCCGTTCTGATCATGAGCTCTGGGGTGAGGGGAGAGAGAGCTAGGAGCTGGGAGCCTTCCCCTAAGCCCCCGACTCGGGGAAGAGGAGAGATTGGGACCCACAGAGCCTTCATCCTTTGGGATGATGCTGAGGATAAAACAGTAACAGTGGCAGCCCCAGAACTTAGAAATAGGAAGGGACTTGGTAGGACAATTTTGCTGAAAGCCTGACTAAGGAAAGCTGCATTTGTATAGCAGGCAGTTTGGGGTTGGGCAGGCAAAACACCTCCAGTTAACCCCAAGATCGACCACAGGTAGCATTTACTGAGCATGTTACTAGGCCAAGTACTTTGCATGGATTGACTCACCTAATCACAACCCTTAGGTAGGTACTGCCCTCATTATACAGAAGAGAGAACCAAGGCACGGAGAAACAACGTAATGTGAGCAATGCATACTTCCAAGGGGAGTGTATTTTCCTCCATGAGGCTCGCCCTGGCCTTGTGTCCCCAAATTCAGAGGCACAGAGGTCTCCCCCATTCCCTCAACCCCATCGCTTAGTGCTCAGCTGAGGACTACCCTGGAGCTGGGAACCAAGAGAAATAACAGGTTTTTCCCACTAGATGGCAGCAGTGTCCACGCCTGCCTGCCTGCCTGTTTCCCTCTTTCCACCCCAGGAAGGCACGGCTCCCATACTCCAGGCCCTCTTTCGGCCTCTTCCCACAGGTTGCATCAGGTGCTGCAGGCCTGGAGTATTGCTGGGGGAATGGCAGAGGAAGTCCCAAGGCAGGTCTCTGGGTCATGCACAAAGGCTTAGCAGGCTCCCCTCTCTGGATGGGCTCCCTCAAGGGCCATCCCACTTCTTCTTTCTAGTCCCCGATTTTCTCTTATTTGTCACTTCTCAACAGCCACTTTCACTCCTGCGGCCCCCTCTCAGCTTCTTAGAGTTAGCTCCCCTCTGATTGGCAGGTAGGCCTGTCTGTCACAGATGTGTCCCACCCTACTTCAAGACCAAGGACGCTTCAGGGTCTCCTGTTTTACTACACAGATGCCTGTTCAACAGCCTCTGACAGACCCAGTTCTATGACATCCCCCACGCCAGGCATGTGAATGTGACATGTATGAGGACCTCTGCCCTATTGCTGAAGGCTCCCTCTGCCACTGGATCCCCACGCTTCATCTTTCCTGCCCTCAGAGACAGCCCACCCATTCTCCTCACAGCAACCCTGGGAGACACCTGTCACTGTCAGCTTTTAAACCCTAAATAAGAAAAAAGCCCAAAGAGGAAAAAAGAGGGGAAAGAGGAGGCAAAGTAACATCTATGGGGCCTTGTGGGGCTGGCTCATGTGGGCCTGTTTCCCCTACACTGATCCCTTCTTTTTTTTTGCTGAGGAGGATTCACCCTGAGCTAACATCCATGCCAATCTTCCTCTGTTTTTCAGTATGTGGGCCACCAGCACAGCATGGCTGCTAACAGAGTGGTGTAGGTCCACACCCAGGAGCAGAACCCAGGTCACCGAAGTTCCTGAACTTAACCACTAAGCCACCGAGGCTGGCCCCACTGATCCTTTCTAAGAAAGAAGAAGAGACTTAAGCAAAGTCACAGGCATGTTCAAGGCAGCAGGGACTCCACCTGGTTCTGGCTCTGGGCCAGGGCTCCCCCTCAGCATGTATGCAGCTGCTCCTCAGTTTGGCTGGGAAAAACCGGCCAGAGCCCTTGGCCTTTGGAGTAGATGTTGCAGTCTCCTCAGTTGCTTCAAAAGAATACAGCTAAGCTCTCTACCAGACAAAGCCCTTTTGACACAAGCAGTGAATTGTCCATTCATTTATTCATCCAACCATTAAATAAATGTATTGAGCTCCTGCTATGTTCTGGGCTCCATTTATGGCTTAGCTAGAAATCACCAGGGCCTGATCACAGGGGAGAGAACTCATGGATGCATAGCATTGGAGTATAGATAGACAACCCCTAAGGGGCTGTCTATACTTGCTGTCTCCACTCCCCACCGCTCCACTGAAGCCACTTTTGCCAAGTCCACCAGTGACCTCTTAACTTGCCAAATATAGTGGTTACTTCTCTGTTCATTCTGTCTGTCTCTCAGCAGAGGGCACACCTCCCTGGCTCCAGCCATGGGAGCCATGCTCACCAATTTTTGGGACTCCTCCTTCTCTAACCAGCTCAGCCTTGGACTTTCTCTTTTCTGTCTATACTGTTTCCTGAGGTGATCTCATCCAGTCTCATGGCTTTAAATACCATCTATATGCTGATGACTCACAAATGTATATTTCCAGCCCAGCCCTCCCCTCTGAGCTCCAGACTCCTCTACCCAACTTCCTGCTTCATGTCTCCGTATCTCCAAAAACATCTTAAACTCAATGGATCCCAAATGAAGCTCTCAATTCTCCTACACCGAACCTGCTCCTCCTTTCTGTCACAGTAAGTGGTCTCACAGAGCCTCCAGATGCTCTGCTCAACACAAAAACCTAGGAATCCTCTCTAGACCCCTCCCTATCTCTCTCCTGACAAACTCATAATCAAGGCCTGTTGGCTCAATTTCCACGTAAATCTCAGCTCCATCCATTTCCCTCCCCCTCTGGTGCTGCCCCTTCGTTCAAGCCAACCCCATGTCTCGCCTGGTTTATTGCAACACCCTGTGGACTGGTTGATCTCTCTCTATTCACTCTTCCTTCAGCAAGAACAAACCAGAACACGCGGATCCACTACTTAAAACCCTCCAATGGCTTCCTGTGGCTCCTGTGTGAATTCTGAACTCACCCTGATCTGCAAGGCTTTTGCCCAGCCCTGTTCACCTACCCACCTTGGTTCTTCCCACACTCTCCCTTCTTCAGCACACTCCAGCCTTTGCACACACCTCTGTCTAGGCCACTCTTGTCCCCACAACTGACCTGCCTAACTCCTTCCCATCTTCCAGGTCTTAGTGGAGACCACACTTCCCCTGGGACATGAACCTGAGCTCTCACAACCTTCTGACCATGCCCTGTCACGGCACCAATCTCACTACACTGGTCTGTCTCCCCTACAAGGCTGTGAAGCCAGAGATCGTTGATCTTAGTCATAGTTGTATCACCACGGTATATAGTAGAGGTTCAATAAATATTTATTGATTTAATGAATGGCCTTTCCACCTCTGGACACACCAGGCCTCATCACTGTCTGCATTTTCCCCTGCAGTTGGCTCAGGCTCCAGACTCACCCTCGCCTTCCAGCAAGGCTTTCTGGCGGCATATTGCTGGGTCTGAGCTAAGCCCCATGAGAAGACAGCAGTGGAGGAAGCAAGACTCTGTGGCTCTTTGCCTAGCCTGCCCCATTCCCCTCACTGCAGACCCAGGTCTGCCTCTCGCCAAACACACCAGCTCTGGTCCTGGATGGCATCCCCCTTAGTCCTGCCTCCTTTCTTCTTCTGGAGAACACTGAAGGAAACCTAATGGTTGCCTTTACTTAAAAAAGATATTATTTTAATATATTCTTTTGAGTAGGTAACATATGCACATGGTACAAAATTCAAAACGCACAGAAGGATGAATGTTGAGAAATAAGTCTTTCCTATTCCTGCCCTCCTCTGCCTCACAGCAACCCCGTCAGAGGTCACCATAGTTACCCCTTTCTTGTGCAGTCTTCCAGAAATAATTTATATTAGCACAAATAAACAAACATATATAAGCTCTTTTTTTTCCACTCAAATGGAAGCATTCCATACATGCCGCTCTGTACCTTTTTTGAGTTAACACGAGGTTGTGAAGATGATTCTGTGTAAGTCCATAAAAAGCCTTTTTCTTTGTCATGGCTGCATACTATTTCATTGGATGAAATTGTGTCATAACTGATTGGACTGGTCCCCTACTCTTGGACATTAAGGTTGTTTCCAATCTTTTGATATTGTAAACATGCTGCAGTTAATAACCTTGAACTTCTATTATTTCACTCATGGGCCAGCATATCTATAGAATAAAATCCTAGAAGTGGAATTTCTGGGTCAAAAAGTCTATGTATTTGTCATCTTGGTATCCACCATCAGAGTGGCTTCCACAGAAGTGATGCCCACTTACCCACAGCCTTGCCAATATTGTGTTAACAGATGCTTTGAATTTTACCATTTGATAGGTGACAAGTGGTATCTCAGTGTAATTTGACTTTGCATTTCTCTTTTTAAAAAAATCATAGTAAAATCCACATATCAATATTTATATCCTAGCCATTTTCAAATAGAGTTCAGTACTGTTAAGTATATTCACATTGTTGTGCAACTGCATTTCTCTCTTTTAAATCACAATATTTAGTCTTGCCAGCTTAGTGCCAGGTCCAGCTTGGGGCAGACTGCTCCCTGGTGGTGGGGAGACAGTAATGTAAACAGGCAAGACCAGCGTTACCAGAGCTGGGTCTGAGATAGCACTGGAAGCTGGGGAGTTGGGGGAGATGCTCCAGGAAGGTTCCATGGAAGAGGTGACCCAGGATGACCCCTGAAGCAAGGGAAGGTCTTCCAGGCAGAGGAACTTGTGTGAGCAAAAGTCCAGAGGCCTGAGAGATTCAGGTGTTTTCTAGGAACAGCAAGAAACGTTCCTGAGAGCCAGCGTGAGGAGTGGGGGTGACGAGATCAAAGAAGTCATGGTCTTGGACTGAAGGGCCTTGAAGGCCACTGTTAGGACTTTGTCTTTGGAGAATGGCAAGTTTGGGGCAAAGGAGGGCAAAGATCAAAGGTTGGAATTAAACTCACAGGCAAGTGGCAGGGTTCAGGTAAGAAATGGCAGACTGATGAGGAATGACTGTGAAACATTCAGAACGAAGCCCCTCCGCATCTGAGGGACGGAACAGAAGATGGTAGGGGGTGGTGTGAGGGTGGATTCCCAAAGGAGATGCCTTCCCTGGGAAGGGGACAGTGGTCCTTGGGGGCTGGCTTGGGTTACAAGGCGAGACGCCTGAACAGCCAAAGGGCGGAGACGTGGGGGAAGCCACAGCCTGGGACCTCAGACTGTGAGATTTCCCAGCCGGCCGCCGGGACCCGGAGATCCCAGGCCAGAGATCGCAGGCGGATCAGACCCCCTTTCCCGCCCGCCTCTGGGCGGCTGCGGATCTCTAAGCCCCGCCCCGCAGGCCTCGCCCCTACGGGTAAGGGAAGGGAAGGGCCGGACGCCCTCCCTCCTCCGCTCGTTCTCTGCGGGGGAGGGGCGTGAGGAAGCGCAGGGGGCGGGGAAGGATGAGCCGGCGTCGCCCTGGCAACTAGGCCGGTGGTCCGCCCTGGAGGGAAGGAAGGAGAAAGCGAGAGAGGGAGGCACTGTGGGCCCTGCGCGGGAGCCTGGGTCTCCAGGGAGGAGTTGGGGAACACCGGGCAATTCTCACTGTTGGTTCCCGGTGGCGCAGGGAGCCCGTGTGTTTGCGAGTGTATGTATGCGAGGTTCTCCGGGGTGAGAGTGTCAGCGCGTGTCAGGGTTTGTGCATATGTGTGAGCGTGCGCACGTGGGCACAGGCGTGTGAGCGCGAGTGCCCGTGCAAGGTGCGTGTGCCAGCCTGCGTGCCCGTGTGTGTGCACTCGTGTGCGCCCCTAAGTGTGCCCGGGAGGGCGCCGGCGGGAGAGTCCCGCCCCCTCCCCAGCCTCCGGCCGCCCCTCCCCGCCCCCCGCCGCCTGCGCCGGCTGCATCCTCGCCTCCACCTCGCTCACCTCCCCCTCCCCGCACTTTCTCCGGCTCTGCCTCCTTCTCGGCTCACACAACAGGACTCCGCGCTCTTCTCGCTGGCCGCCCTCGGAATCGCCGGCCGCCGCCACCCAGGCTGCACCCCCCGTCCCCCCAGTACTTGGGCACCTGTTGGAGGCACAGAGGCAGGTGCAGGGGGCTGGGCTGCTGGGGGCGTGAGGGTGAGGGTTTGTGTGTGTTAGCCTGTGTGTGCCTACAGGGGTGTTTAGCTCTCTGACGGCTGCAATTTCTGGTCCCTCTGGAGAGCTAATCTCAGGAGGAGGCATCTAAGGCAGGGGTCCCCATCCTGGGCTGCAGGGGTGGAGGGACCAGGCAGGCAGGCAGGCAGATCCTGGGGCTGAATGAAGGGACAGTGGGAAACGAAAGCCTAGAAGGGTGGGTGACACCTGGACCAGACAAGTGCCCTGTGCAAGATGGACAGAGCCTCAGGGAGACAGACCTCAGAGAGACAGAGGAGGCCGCCTTGGGGCCTCTTTGGGGGTAGGTGGGGCCCAGGGGCAGAAGCAAGCCCAGAATGAGGGGCAGGAGCTGGGAAGATGACAAAGGGACAATCTAGAGGTAATTGGGCAAGGCTGAATTGGAGCCAGGACCTATCTGGGGGCAGTGGGCTGGCAGCGCAGCCCCTGTGGAGCAAGGCTTGAGATTTGGAGGGCCCAGGCCTCCTGCTCGCCCATCAGCTAGCACAGGCTGCCCTCTCCCTCCACACCTAGGAAGGGAGGCCAGTGAGGGCCCCACAGACCTGGCAGGTTGCCACCTGGCCCTCAGCCAGCGGATGATAGGTATGAGGAGTCAGCCCCCGGCTCACACTCTCTTGAACCTCCCTCCCCCAGCCAGGGGTGCTGCATGAGGGGCCGCAGGGGCGACCGTATGACCATCAACATCCAAGAGCACATGGCCATCAACGTGTGCCCTGGGCCCATCCGGCCCATCCGCCAGATCTCTGACTACTTCCCCCGCCGGGGACCAGGACCCGAAGGGGGTGGCAAGGGCTCCGGGGAGGCCCCTGCTCACCTGGCCCCCCTGGCCCTGGCCCCCCCTGCAGCCCTCCTTGGGGCCACCACGCCCGAGGATGGTGCTGAGGTGGACAGCTATGACTCGGATGATACCAGTGAGTCTGAGGGCTTGAAGGGCTCAGGGTGCTAACGGGGGGCCTCCAGGCTTGTGGGAAGGGGATGGGGCCTTGTTGGGGGGAGGTGGCGGGAACTGCCGCCACAGCTGCAGTCAGGGTGGAGATTACAGCTTCAGCACAGCTCAATATTCATTATTTCTGCTGAGACACTCAACCACCCACATAGCCTCAACTGCAGCCCAGCCAGGGACCCAGACGCACACATACTTGTAGGCTGACAGACACACACACACACACACACACACACACACACACACACACACACACACACACAGCATTCAGCCAGCCTGCCCACCGGTCTCTCACACACACCTGTCAGTTTACACACTGACTTAGGCTCCATCTTCCCTCTTCTCCAGCCGCCCTGGGCACGCTGGAGTTTGACCTTCTCTACGACCAGGCCTCCTGCACTCTGCACTGTAGTATCCTCAGGGCCAAGGTAGGCACTCCCTGCCTCCCAAGCCCGGTCCCTGTTTGCCTCCTCCCCTGGGAGGGGTGAGTTTCCATCCTCCCCTCCCTTCCCCAGGCCAGACCCCTGCTCCCCCCACCCCTACACCCTCTAGTACCTTTCTTCTTGGTTCTCCCCATCCCAAGGATCCACTCTGCAGAGAGAGGGAGGGAGGGCTGGGAGCTCATAGCCTTCTTCCTTCCCCTTCTCTCCAGGGTCTGAAGCCCATGGATTTCAATGGCCTGGCCGACCCCTATGTCAAGCTGCATCTGCTGCCTGGAGCCTGCAAGGTAATGGCCTTTCCTCTACAGCAGCCTGACCCAGCTTGTGGGTCTGTCCCCAACCTTCCCCTGCCTTGAGCCTCTGTGGCTCTGGGGGACATGTACTGAGAACTCTTCATCCCCACACCTCAGGCCAATAAGCTAAAAACTAAGACTCAGAGGAACACGCTGAATCCTGTGTGGAACGAGGACCTGACGTACAGTGGAATCACAGATGATGACATCACTCACAAGGTGCTCAGGTGAGGGCTCCGTCCTCCCCATTACCAAGAATTCCAGCGCTCAGCACCTCAACTGCACAGCTGTCACTGGAACTTTGGTTGGTTGATCTACCTCCCATTAAGCCCCTCTCAGATGCTCAAGAACAATCAGTGGCTCCCCATTCCCTTTGGCAGCAGGTCAAAATGTTTCACTGGCATTCCCATCCCGCAAATAATCTACTGCTCCTCCAGTAGAGAACTGCCATATCCTAACTGCTCGGGTTCATTACTCCTGATTTTTGCCTGTTGTGTCTCTTCCACCTGGAAAGGGTTCCCTGCTTCCTCTCTCTGCCAGCCTAAATCCCACTCATCATTTGGGGCTCTGCCTCCTTCTGAAAGCTTTCCCTGGTCAAAGAGACCCCTTCTCAGAGGCCCTGACTTAAGTCAGACCTATGCAGCGGAGGGCTGCCCATTCTGTTGCCTATGTCTCCCTAACATCTCTAAGGCGTAAAGCCTTCAGGGACAGGAAACTTGCTCCATCATTCCAGGAGGGAGGTCGAGCTGTGGGGAGAGTAGTCCCTGGTGTGGAGTGAAGGGCAGAAAAACCCAGGCTTGAGAGAACTTTTCCTTTGTTCTTGGGCAACAGGGAGCCATGGAAGGGTTTGCATCAGGGCAGGGGCATGGTCAGAGCTTTCAGAGGGATCACCTTGGTGTTGGGTGTAGGGTAGACTGGAGGGCAGAACAGGGGCAGAAACCAGAAAGGCTGGCCCCATATTTCAGATGTGAGAGAATGAGGCCTGAATTACTTACTGAGTGCTTACCCATGCCCAGCCCTAGTCTTCGCACATTTACATTTATTTCACTTGATCCTCCTAATAGCTTTAGGAGGTGGGTATTCATTATCTCCATTTTATAGATGGGAATTGAGTGACTTGCCCAAGGTCACAGAGTTGCTAGTAAGTGGCAGAGCTGGGAACTGAACCCCTCCCTACAGCTGCTCAAGAGTGTCACAGCAGAAGGAAGTGCAGGGGGCTGCAGAAAGGGGCAGATGTAAGTAAAAGCAATCGTTTCTTAATTGCTGGGCTCAGGAGTCTCTCCTAAGCTAGCTCCCTGCTCCACGCAGTAAAGGACAGGAGCTCCAGAGGAGGGGTGAGCTCCTCATCCGACTGCCCAAGACTCCTCAAGGCCCTTCTAGCTCTTATATCCTGAATCCATGACCCACATCCACCACTGCACGCCCTGTGCACATTCAGTTGGATCCTGTCCCCAGGCCCTGAATGGAGGCAGTTCGGGGGGAGGTACTCAAGATTTATGAGGGCTTCCTGAAGTAGAGTGGCAGGTCCTGATGCACCAGGGACAGCCTGGGCAGCTGGAAAGGGAGGGGCAGAGGAACAGGGCAAATCAAAGCGTCTTTCTCAAGGTCTAGGCCTGGTGCTCACCACAAAGCCTGTGAGATGGCCTATTTTACAGCTGGGGTATAGAGTATTTAAGGAAAAGCTGGGACCAGCCTCTGGTGCTCAGAGTTTGGTCAGAGGCCCTTTCTCCCACACTGAAGTGGGGCTCAGGTACCCCAAGGGGTCCTGACCCTGCAGTTCCCCACCAGGATCTCTGTCTGTGATGAAGACAAGCTGAGTCACAATGAGTTCATCGGGGAGATCCGTGTACCCCTCCGCCGCCTCAAGCCTTCACAGAAGAAGCATTTTAACATCTGCCTTGAGCGCCAGGTCCCGGTCAGTGCAGGGCTGCAGGGCACCAGGAGAGGGGGCCCTGAGGAGGCCAGATTTCCAGAACCTTCTCTTTGCTCCTTCAGCTGGCTTCACCCTCTTCAATGTCGGCAGCGCTGAGGGGGATCTCCTGTTACCTGAGGGAGGTGAGGCACCTCACAGGGACCATGTGTGGGTGGAAGGTGGTGAGGACGCAGGCTGATGCGTGTCTGCCCCGCAGCTGGAGCAGGCAGAGCAGGGGCCGGGGCTACTGGAAGAGCGCGGGCGCATCCTGCTGAGCCTCAGCTATAGCTCTCAGCGCCAGGGGTTGCTGGTAGGCATTGTGCGCTGTGCCCACCTGGCTGCCATGGATGTCAATGGCTACTCGGACCCCTATGTCAAGACGTGAGCCCTTGCCCTGCCCTGAGGCCCACCCTTCCCTCCCCAGGGAACCTGACCCCTGCCCCATCCTCCTCTGGGACCTGGCCTATCCCTGACTGCCCCACACCCCCACCCCTGCCCACCCTCCTTGGCAGGTACCTGAGACCAGATGTGGATAAGAAATCCAAGCACAAAACATGTGTGAAGAAGAAGACTCTAAATCCGGAATTTAATGAGGTAAACAGGGCAGGGACCAGAAATTGAGGGGCCTGGGCGTGGGGGTGGGGGCAGCGCCTCATGTAAGGTGTGACTTGTCCTGTCTCAGGAGTTTTTCTACGAGATGGAGCTCTCCGCTCTGGCTACCAAGACTCTGGAAGTCACAGTCTGGGACTATGACATTGGCAAATCCAACGACTTCATCGGTGAGGGAGGAGCCCAGTTGGGTGGGGCTGATGGAGGGCAGACTGGCAGTGAGATGGGCTCTGACTTTGCCTGCCCCTACCTACTCCCCAGGTGGCGTGTCCCTGGGGCCAGGCACCCGGGGAGAGGCCCAGAAGCACTGGAGCGAGTGTCTGCAGCAGCCGGATACAGCCCTGGAGCGCTGGCACACCTTAACCAGTGAGCTGCCCGCAGCGGCCGGGGCTCTGCCTTCAGCCTGTGTGAGACAGTAGCTGCCCAGCACAGGCCCCTCAGGGCTGGGTCCAATACCCAACCTTCGCACGGGTGTGTTGCACGTTTACACGGGGTGGATGCCCCACCCCGCACTACCTGTCTTATTTCGTGAGACTCTCCGTGACCATGGGTCAGTCTGTCTTGTGAGGGACTGTGGAGATCTATATTCACATATGCAAACTTCCTCCTGCCTGACACGCTACAACACGCAAATATGCAAACTACCCATCCTGTGCACACCTGCAGGGGGAGTCCTGTCAGTGCCCCCTGCCCCAAGGCCCCAGCTGCTGCTCTTCTCTCCTGCCTCTCCAGGCTGCCCGTTCCCCTCCCCGCACAGGGAGGAGGTCGGATTAGGGGGGGTTCGGAGGAAGAGAATGTTCCCAAAAAAGAAAAGGACAAAGAACCAAAAAAGAGCCACTCCTTTAATACAGAATCTTCATTAAAAAAAAAAAGAACCTAGCCCTGTACAGCTGCCCTTTTAAACAGGGGACCACGGCAGGGTCTCTGCCTCTCTGAGAGGTGGCAGATGCTCCTGGCCACTCATTTAAATAACTGTCTCCTGGATGGGGCCACGATGTGAAGGCAGGGCCCCTGCCTCCCTGGTGAGGGGCCCACCTTCTGGGGGACATTCGTGCATGTTTACGCCTTTTCTGATTGTGTCAGTGGCCGCAGCATGGCAACTGGGCGTCAATAAATGTCTCTGTGGAAGCTAGGGGCTCGTGTGTGCTAGCACAGAGGGCGCTGGGCAGGGGCTTAGGTGGGGGGGCGGGGGGGCAGGAGGGTGTCACTCCGGGATATCAATCACCAGGTCATCATCCCCGTCCAGGGCATCATCCCCGCTGCCCGCATCGCTGAACATCTGCCGAGGGACGGCGCTCAGGATCGTGGGAGGGGGCATCTTAGGCGGGGGCAGTGGGGCTAGGGCTGCCCCCACCCCAGCCCCAGAACCTCGGCCAGGGAAGGTCAGCGGCCCTCCCACAGGGCAGTCGGGGGGTCCCACCGCCATCTGCAGCAGGGGGGAAGAAACATAGGGAGGGCTTGTCAGGGAGGTACTGGGACCTCTAGGAGGCTGGCATTGCCCCTTAAGGCAGTTCTGGGGGACGGGGAAAGGAGCAAAGGCTCATTCAAGGTATAGTGGACACAGCCGGGCCAGCGAATGCTGGAATCAGGGGGCCTACCCCACCTCAGCTTCTTCAGAGTCTCAAACCAGCAAGTGCCTGGGGGTGAGGGGTGGTGATGGAGGCGTTGATGAGGGTGGTGGTGGTGGGGTATCTTACAGGAAACCAGGAGGGAAAGGCTGGACCCTGTCCTCACCAGGGAGGCACCTTGGCTGCTCTGTGATAGCAGTTACAGCCAGTCAGTCAGCCTGGAGTGCCTGCCTGCCTGCCTGCCTCTGGGCACCTCAGATACCTCTTGCCACCACTGGCCGCCTCCTCCTGCAGGACTCACTGGTTCAGTGAAGGGTGTCACAGGCCTTCACCCCCCACCGGGTGAGGCTTCTACCTCTTACACCTTGGACGAGTCCCTCCTTGGGATCCCCACAGCCACTGGCCCAGGCAAGGCCCTCCTCTCAGCTCACCTGGGCCATGAACCAGCCTCCTAACTGGACTCCCTGCCTTCAGCCTCTCCCAGATCCAGCTCCTCCTCCACACTGCAGCCAGAATGAGCTCTCTAAAACACAAACCTGAGCGTGTCATTCCTCCACTTAAGGGCCTCAGGCTCCTTGCTGCCCTCGGGGCAGGCAGTGCAGTGTACCTGAGAACAGGCTGGTCTCTCCACCTGGAGTGTCCTTTTCTATCTGTCAAAAGTCCTGCTTTGTCCTCTGAGGCTGGGAAGTGGTCTCTGTCCTGCCCAACCCTCTAGCCCCATCCCTGCCAGGCCCTTATGAATCCTCCCCATAGAGAGCTCTGTGGGCCTTGTGCTTTGCCGTGGGCACAAACTGAGCACTTACTAAGTGCCAGGTGATTGCTGTTAAGGATTTCTGACCACTCAGATCACCCTGGGAGGGAGGAGAGGTCATGGGCCAGAGGAGGAAGCCGAGACTTGGAAATGGAGATTTTAAGGAACAGGCCTGACAGGTCCCCATGAGGCAGTGTCCAATCTGCCCCTGGGTGTGGGGGTGACAGGGGGTACATGGTCTTCACAGTGACCCTTCTGAGTGCTTTAACACATTCAGCCCTCATGGCCTACTCTTTGCTTCTCAAGGAGCGCTCCCCTCACTCCCCTACTGCTGTTCCTGGGGTAGCATGAGCGGCCAGAGTGGGTTTTTACCTCAGAGTCAGTACCTCAGGGTACAGGAGTCTACCAGGAGTGATGACACACAGGAGGCCCAGCTCTGAATAGCAGCCTGACACTCGGTACCAGGCACCCATGTGTACACATGGGAGCACACACACATGCATGACTGAAAAGGACAGCTGCATGAGGACTGTCCCCCTCCTCTGGCTACCACCTCTCGATCCCCACCCTAGTCCCCACGTTCCACCCCTGCCTGGACATACTCAGTGGCTTCCTCAGTGTGCCTGAAGGCAGCTAATGTTTATCTCTGACCTACTAGGGACCAGGCACTGAGCTAAATGTTTTCTATTCTATACTCATCTTATCCTCATAGTGACCCCACTGAACAGAGACGAAGGCTGAGGCTCAGAGAGTTAAATGACACACCCAGGGTCACACAGTGAGTACAGTGAGTACGTGGAGGAGCTGAGATTGAAACCCAGCTAAGTCTGACTGAGGCCCAGGCTCTTAACTGACCTGCTTCAGTCGTCACAGCTTTCCCTCCTCTGCTCAGACTTGCTACCTTCCGTCTGCTCACACCAAGTCACCTGGAAACTTCAGGGATTCCCAGTTCCTTACAGAACATCCTGACTCTGGGTGTCCGGACCTTCAATAACTCCACCCACCCAATCTTTCTTTCCAGTGTTGTTCTCTCTTCTCACTGCTGCTTCAGCCCAAACAACACTTGCACCGTGTCCCTGTCTTCCTTCCACCATTACCTCAACCTGGAACATCCAAATCTCAGTTACTCTAGGCTCAAATGTTTCCTCTTCTTTGAGGCCTCTTCCACGCACAGCAATTATTTGGGCCCCTCTCTCAACCAACATTTTCTCTCTCATACGTCCAGAACTTAGCTTCCCGACTTTCCTCTCCTTCAGGACCCAGCACCTCAGAAAACCTCAAACTGCCATGCCCATGCCACACCACTCCTCTACGCATCTGCTCCAGGCCTCACAGACCCTTGCCTTCTCCACTGTCCTGCCCTACAGGCCAAAGCAAAAACCCTGCTAAGTAGAGCAAAGGGCCAGTATTATCACCCCCATTTTTCAGGATCAAGGGCCAAGATCACAGGGAGTAAGTGGCAGAGCTGGAATTCATACTCCAGAACCCATACTCCTAGCCACCACAAACATGGCCTCCCATTTTGCTTCTGGCTCCAGAGCCTTGAGTGTATGGTCCACCCAAACTTGAAAGCTGGGTCCAGACTGGTCCCTATTCCACTCTGATTCAGAGCTGGAAGAGCATTATGCCTTCTCTGTGTCCTCATCTCTCCTGGGGCTCAGTGCTCAGGCCTCTTCTCCTCTCCATCCACACTTTCACCTGATGATCGCATCCATCTCCATGCTGATGAATTCCAAATATGCACCCCAGGAGCCCCAGGCTCACAGTATCCAGCTGTTTCACTGGCATTTCCAGACAGCCTCTCGACATGTCCAAAACCAAACTCCTCATCTTCCCTCCCAAACCTGCTTCTCCAGTCCTCCTCATCTCAGAAAAGGGCTACTCCACTTCTTTAGTTACTCAAGCCAAAAACCCTGGAGCTTCCTTTGACTCCTCTCTTTCTCACAGCCCACACCACTGGTCTTCCTGAGGCTCATTCTTTGAAATGGACCCGTGACCTACTTTTTGCCCTCGCTACCTGGTTTACCACGGTAGTCTTCTCATTGGTCTCCCAACTCCCATCCCGACCTTCCCCCTAGTCTATCCTCCACACAGCAGTGTCAGCAATTTTGTTAACATGTAAATCAGATCAGATTCCCCCTCTGCCCAACCTTCTTCAGTGGCTCTCCATTTCATTCATAGTACAAGCCAAAGTCTTTACAACACCTATAAGGCCCTCCACAACCCTGCCCCTCAGTTACTTCTCTGACCTGCTCTCTGATCATTCTCCCCCTTTCACTTTCCTCCAACCACACTGGCCTCCTTCCTGGTCCTTGAACAAGTCAAACACACACCCTCTTCAGGGCCTCTGCACTCATTGTTCTCCCTCACCAAAACACTTTCGCAGAGAGCCACAAGGCTTGTTCTCATTTCCTTTAAGTCTCTGACCAAATAACATCCCAGATCACCCAACCATAAACATCAGCCCCCATCTACTCTGGGGCTTCCCATCCTCTTTACCTGACTCCATTTTTCTGCATTGTTATCTATTTATCTTGTCTATTCTCTGCCTATCTTGCTAGCACGTGCACTCCACAAAGGCAGGAACTTTTGTGTTTTGTTCACTATTGCATCTGCAGCATCTAGAACACTGCCTGGTACACAGTAGATGCTCCGTAAACACTTGTCAATTACACGTAGTTTGATCACACTCACTTTTACCAGTGCAGAATCTGAGACATAGAGGGTCAAAGAGATCTACTCAAGTGTACATGGTTTTTAACTGGTGCAGCCTTGACTTGATTTTAGATCCCACAACTCCACCCCTCTCTGGAGCTGCCTGGCATCACAGAACGCCTTTGAAAACGAGCCTGGTCCCCAGCCACACTGTAGCAGTGTAAGGGCAGGACCCCAGGCATCTTCACTCCGAGTCCCCCAAGGCTGGTTCTGCCCCTGATTTGTCTCCACTTCGAGCCTGTGAGCCAGGACGTCTCTGACCCACTCCTCAGTGCCTAGGCCTGGGCTGGGCCCCCAGCAGCCCAAATCAATCCTTCAAAGTTCTTGGACAGGCCCCCAGCCCATCTTGACCTCCCTCAGCTGGCTGTCCTCCTGCTGTTCTGGCCCCTCCCTAACGTCCCCAAATCAGGGTACCTTGAGTTTCCGGGGCAGGCGGGGCCGTTTCTCCCGCTTGGGCCTCAGGGGGCTGGGCTCGGGCAGCTGCAGGGCCAGGTAATCAGAAGGGAATGGGGGGTAAGGAGGGGAAGCCAGCTGCAGGTGGGAGTGGGGGGATGGAGACAGGAAATGGAATAGATGGGATGGGGAGTGAAGGGAAGAAATGCAAACAGGAAGAATGAAAAACAAGAGATGGTAATGAGTGTGGCTCCTGAGAACAGAAGGGGAGGGGACAGCAGCAGGACTTTGTCCTGGGGTCTGCTCTCCTCAGTCATGTCTGTCCCCCATCTACACCAGAGAGAGGTGGGCAGCCCCGACTCACACCCCACCAAGGGATGCTTGCTGGCCACACCCAGCAGACGTCCTCAGAGGTGGGCTGGCTTCCCCTGCCAAGGCCTGGCCCCTCTGCCCAAACAACGCCCACCTTATTCCCAGGCATCTTAGTTACCATTTCCCACACTTGACCCCAACTCACCGAGCTCAGGTATGGGGAGGGGGCCCCAGAGGCCTGAAGGGGAAACCCTGTTGAAGGAGGCAGGGAGAGGCTGGAGGGGGAGGGGGCGCCCCCCAGCGGAGGGCTTCTCTTCCTGCAGAAAGGACAGTGGAGGGAGTCAGAGGCAGCTAGGAGGCCCAGGTACCCCCCAACCCCCACCCCCAGAGAAGAATGATGGCTTCTTCTTCTCACCTCTTGGGGGCTGACGTGTCCGACAACTTGGGTGTCCCCTCTGTCTCGCTGTTATCTGAAGATGCAGTGGCATCTGAGTCTGTGAGAGGGGAGGGCTGGTCAGTGTGTGTGGGAGGGTCCTTGTCTACCTCTGAGGGGTGTAATCTTGACTCTATGGAAGGGCTCCAGGGAATATGACTCCCCACTTGATGCACCCATGCTATTCTGGGAGGCCTACAGCTTCCTCAACTTCTCAAAATGTTTTTTAAAACCTACTTCCTGCCTGGGCTCCTCGCTGAAAACATGTTTGTTGAGCACTTACTATGTGCCAGGCTCTAAACGAGCACTTTACATTCACTGTCTCTCCTTGTCTTCATACCTAACCAAGGAAGAAAGTGAGGGTATCACCTACACTTGCCAGATGAGGTCACGGGGGCTCAGAAAGTAAGGTGTGGGGCTGGGACTTGAACCTAGGTCTCTGACTCCTTTACCATTTTACGCCACTCTCTCCTTATTCACCTCTAGGCTACCTTCAGCTCCTGCCTCTGCTCCCCATATTCAGGGTCCTGTTAATCTACCCCTCAAATCTCTCCTACCTTTACCCATTCCACTGCCAACAGGTCAGGCCACCATCATGTCAAAATCACCTGCTAAGCAGTCTCACCTCTCCTGCCACTCACTGTACACTCCAACTCCAGAATGACGTAAACCTGATCACATCGTTCCTGATGATGTCCCCCAGTGCCTGCAAGCATTCAAAGTGCTTCTTAATCTGGCCTCAACCTACCTTTCCCAAACTGTACTCTTTACATCACACCAATCTATTTCCTCAAAAAAGAAACTTTATTTCCCAGTTCTGCACTTCTACCTAGAAGGCCCATCATTCATTGACAAATAACCAAAACACATGATATATGCTGTTCCCAATTTCTCTGTTCAGACAGATCCTTTAAGCAGATTAAATGCCACCTCTCTGAGAAGTCTTCCAGAATCCCTGAGGCCCAATTAATTGCTGGCTATGATCGAACTCTCTACTCTTAGTTGTCACGGCTCTCCTCACACTATGCCAAGACATGTCACGTGTGGATCTCCCTGACCAGACTATGGGCTTCTCCAGGATGACTGGTAGTTTGCATGTCTGGCTCTTGCTCCTCAGATTTACCTTGCTCTGACCATGAACATGCTGGTTTTCTCATGCCTCCTATCCTGAAGTCCCTCTTGCACAGGAAGTTAATTGGAAGACCTCAGGGAAGGAATAGGCAGGCAATGAAAAGCCAGGATAAAAGCCAAACGTTTTGCCATGACCTACAGAAGCTGGCTCCTACATACTTCTTTGACCTTACCTATTGCCTACTACCCTCCTATAATATGCAAATGAATGGGTGTTGTATGTTCCAATAAAACATTATTTACAAAAACAGGCAGCCTGGCTGGCTGTTATTTGTTGACCCCTGCTCTAGACAAATGTTTAAAGGCACCAGGAAGAAAGGCAATTGTATGTGACATGTGGCATGGCTTATAAGAGCTTCACCCTAAAACAGGGCCACAAATGCCCACCTTACGGCTTTTTCAAACTGTGGGTTTCAACACATTAGTGGGTCATGAAGTCAATTTATTGGTTTGCAATCAGTATTAAACGGGAAAAAAAAAGTCTAAAAAGTATCAGAACAAATTGATGATATAGTGATCTTAATGTTGTTTCATTAAATGTTGTTTTGTAACTAAGTATGAATGCGGGGGCTTGGTCATGGTGTAAAAGATATTATTGATTGTACCTAATGCTCAAAAAAGTTGGAAAACACTATATGCTTGAGCTTTTGTACTCTTCAGACAAGCTGGTCTATTCTTTCCTCAGGGCATCTGCATTTGTTATTCTCTCTGCCTGGAGATCTCTCACTCACATCTTCACCAGATTGGTTTCTTCTCATCTAGGTCCCAGCTTAATATTACTTCCTGAAAAAGGCCTTTCTTGAGCACTCTGTTGAGATGTTGCCTGCCATCTGCTTTTTTTTTTTTGAGGAAGATTAGCCCTGAGCTAGCATCTGCTGCCAATCCTCCTCTTTTTGCTGAGAAAGACTGGCCCTGAGCTAACACAGTGCCCATCTTCTTCTTTATATGTGGGACTCCTGCCACAGCATGGCTTGCCAAGGATCCGAACTGGCGAACCCGGAGCCACCGAAGCGGGACGTGTGAACTTAACTGCTGCACCACGGGGCCAGCCCCTGTTATCTGCTTTTGTAGAGTCTTGCAAACTAAGAATGTCTTTTAGATTTTTAAATGATTCGGAAAAAAAATCAAAAGAAAAATATTTCATGATATGAATGTAAATTCAAATGTCAGTGTCCGTAAATAAAGTTTTATTGAAACACAGCCACGCTCATTTATTTACATATCACTATGGCTGCTTTTGCACTACAACAGCAGAGCTGAGTAGGTGTGACAAAGATTGTATGTTCTGCAAAGTCTAAAATATTTATTACCTGGCCCTTTACAGAAAAAGCTTATCAACCCCTGCTCTACTCTGATCACTACCATATAACCCTGATTTTATTCCTTTCAAATCTAAAATTCTAGTTTCTTTCCTTACTTATTACTTTCAACTAGAATACAAATTCCAAGAGACGTTGTCCATCTTGGTTACCACTGTATTCCCTGTACAAAGCACAGTGCCTGAAACACAGTAGATGCTCAATAAATACTTGAGTGAAAGAATGGCAGAGGTGGAGGCCACGCGACTAGGTTTAAGAACCACTGGAGGCTGCATTAGCCTCCACAGCCTAAAAGGAGGGGCCCAGGAAGCTTGCTGAAGCGCCAGGAGCCAAGTCCTCCACCAATTTTTCATGATCTTGCTCACCAGAAGAGTCTTCATCCACGTTCTCGTACTGCAGAAGTCGGTCTAGGAGAAAACTGAAGGGGCGGGGAGGAAAAGTGTTTATTCCCGTCTCGGCAATGTTCTCTTGGGCCCTCGTCCCTTCTAGTTGCCCATTGGATCCTCGCAACAGCCCCAAGGCAGGCACCAGGCATTTGTGGTTCCATTCCAGGATAGAGTCCGAATGTAGACCCACATCACCCGCCGGCTCCCCTCTCCCCGACAATGTGTCTCACCTCTTGTCCCGGGACACCTTCAGCAATTTCCTCTGCGCCTTCCTCAGTTCCTCCTGGAAGCACTCGTGTTCCTGTATCATAGGCAAGGTGGGCGCTGAGCCAAGGGCCATCTGTAAAGGGGCCCGGAACCCGGCGACAGCTCACCCGACTCTCTTCACACGTGGGTAAACTGATAATCCTGCCAGCGCCAGACCTCACCTTCTACCACCTCCCCCGCCCCAGCACTCACGTAGATGAGGAACTTGAGCTTCCGCTTCAGGTTCCGGTATTTCTTCTTGTAGTCCACTTCGCCGTCCGCCGGCCCATTCATGACCGGCCTCAGGAGCAGTGTCCCACTGCTAGCCTGCAGTCCTGCTACCCCGAGCCGGTTCAGCCCAGCCTCTCACGCCTTCACTTCCGGAGACTATGCAAGGAAGCGTCCGCTGGGACTACAACTCCCGGCGTACCCCGCACCCACCGATCGTACCCACACGGATTGCCCTCTTAGGGAACACTGGGAAAGGAATCTTGCTTCGAGGGGCTACGCTGAAGATGGCGTCGCAGCGACGCGATAACGTCACAAAGATGGCGGACGCTGGTGGCCGCCCTCACTGACTCTAACAGTGCTTAGCGGTTGGAAACCAGAAGACTTTCCCCCAGGGTTCCCCAGGCTCCACGGGAGGATGCCCTTTTTTTTCTGTCTTTAGAAACCACAGCGGCCTAGATGGTGCCCGTGACCACGGACGGAGGCAGCGTCGCGGGTTGATTACGTTACACCCAAAGGTTGCCGGCGCCGAACTGGTTTCTAATGAGAACTTTAAAAACGATTCGTTCTAACGAAAGGAAAGAGCCACGAGACCCTCCAACTGCCCGGAGAAAGCAAGTTTCTACAGTTCTCCGTCCAAGTGACCCGCGACCGACTCCCAACGGTCCCTTGCCTCAGGGCGCTACGACACTGCGCGTGCGCAAACTCCTGTCAACCGCGCTGACGGAAGCCGAGAAGAAAAAAAGGCGGGAGCCACCAATCCCAGGTGGAGCAAAATGGCGCGGGAGAACGAGATGCAGGAGTTCGCCCGTAGCTTCTTCCGAGGCCGGCCGGACCTCAGGTGCACTGGCGGTTCAAGTTGGGGTTGGAAAGGGCAGGGGCGGGACGGGGACTCCGTCTTGACACATGTCTCCCCAGCACGCTCACGCACTCCATCGTGCGGCGGAGGTTTTTGGCTCACACGGGCCGCGACCACCTGGAACCCGAGGAGAAGCAGGCGCTGAAGCGGCTAGTGGAGGAGGAGCTGCTGAAGATGCAGGTGTGGGCGCGAGCCTGGGCCACGGGAGGTGGGGTTTGTTGCCGAGGAGGAGGGGCCTCAGGGAGGGTGGGACGGAACACAACGTTTTGCTCTCTTGATGCACACACAGGTTGATCAAACCGGTGCCAGAGAAGAGAGGCTAGGCCTTGCCAAGAAGGTGAAGAGGCCTCCCATCCCCTGCAGTGACTCAGAGCGAAAAAGGTTCCGTTTCGATTCGGAGTCAGGTTAGTGCCTTCTATATAGTTGGCTCATTCAAAAAGTATTTATTGTGCATGTTTTACGTCCCAAGGCATTAGGTGAGGGCGCAAGGCCAGTGAGTCAGATACCAGGAACAGGGTGGGCCCATGGCTGTGTTTCCTGCTCCCCTTCCCTCCAGCTGTCAGAGCAGGGTTTGAGGCAACCTATCCCAAGTGGAGGGGGAAGGGATAGGAGGAACCTGTCCCAACCTTGTCTTCTCTCTACATTCCAGAGCCCAGCTCTGCAGCCTCCAGTCCAGACTGCTTTGGCTCCCCAGCAAAGAATGGGATGGCAGCAGCAGCAATCAGTCCAGCCAAGGAGGAGAGTCCAAAGCAAGCCTCAAAGAAAGCAGTTGAGAGCAGCGATGAGGAAGAACAGCAGAGGGACCCGACTGCAAAGGTTGGATTAGAGAGGGAGGAGGTGAAGGAGACAAGTGAGGAGGAGGAGGAAGAGGGCTCTGCCAGAACAAGTAAGGTCTGGAAGGAAGAGAGCAGTGAGGAAGAGGAGGAGGAGGAAAAGGAGGCCAAAGGCAGGACTAGGAAGAAACTTGTGACAAAGAACAAGCAGGCACTAAGCAAGGCCTCGGCCAGTAGGAAGCAGGCCAGGGAGGAGAGTGAGGACAGTGAGGAGGAACCTGCCCAGAGAATGAGAAAGAAGGCTGAGGGAGAGAAAGGCGCTAAAAGTGAAAAGGAAAGTGAAAAGGAGAGTGAGGAGGAGGAGACCCTTGCCAAGAAGAAAGAGAACAGAGAGGAAGAGGAGGAAGATTGGAAACCCAGAGCCTGGGATAATGGAGGGAAAAGGTCAGCTTGGGAGGAGAGGAGGTATAAGCAGAAAAGCAGGGCAGCGAGACTGCTGGGAGACTTGGGGGACCAAGAGGAAGAGAAGGAAAAAGCAGCAGCAGACAGTGGGAATAAGAGCAGGGGAGATGAAGAGCCCCCAGTGCAGAGGAAGAGCAAAGACAAGAGCCAGTGGAAAGGTGGCAAAAGGCAGAGTGGAAGCAGTGAGGATGGGGAAGACAGCGGGAGAAAGATGAAACCAACTGCTAAAGGCACTGGGAAGACAGCCAACATGGGCGGTATCAATGGTGAGGCAAGTGACTCGGAGAGGGAGGTAACTGACAGTGAGGCAGGGGGTAGTCCTAAGGGGGAGAGAAAGAACCGTTCTTCCAAGAAGAGCTCCAAGAAAGACAGGACACAAAGCTCCTCCTCCGCAGATGGCAGTCCAGAACCCAAAGGCAGGAAGGTAAGGGTGAAGATGGAATGGGAGGCCACCACTCTGGAAGAGGGAGACCCTAGCTCAAGTTCAGAAGACTTGGCTTTCAGCTGCTGTCTTTCCTTGCCAGGCTGGCTCTGGTTGTCGCAGTGAGGACCACCCAGCTGTGAGGAAGCTAAAGCGCTACATTCGGGCCTGTGGTGCCCATCGCAACTACAAGAAGCTGCTGGGCTCCTGCCGCTCATACAAGGAGTGCCTGAGTGTCCTCCGGGCAGAGCTGGAAGCCCTGGGCATGAAGGGTGAGGCTGGATGTGCCCTGGGGGCTTCAGGAGAGGGCCTTGGCTGCTGGGGAGGAGAAGATCACGAACCTTTTCTGCCCCAGGTAACCCCTCCTTAGAGAAGTGTCGAGCCCTGAAGGAGCAGCGGGAGGAGGCAGCCGAGGTGGCCTCCTTGGATATTACCAACATCATCAGCAGTTCAGGTGAGGGGCTTCCTCCCACTCCCCAGGAGCAGATGTGGCTTGAACTCTTAGGCAACTAATCTCCCACCTCTCCTTCCCCCTAGGCCGGTCACGCAGACGCACGGCCTGGAACCCTTCAGGAGAAGCAGCACCCCCAGGGGAGCTGTACCGCCGGACCCTGGACTCAGAGGAGGAGCAGCCCCATCCCCCACCCCCAGACTGGTCACATTTGCGGGGCATCATCAGCAGTGATGGTGAGAGTAACTGAACTCCCTCCCTCCTCCAGGAGGGACTTCCCTCTTGTAGCCAACATATAAAACACCCCCACCCCCAACTCTGTGCCTGCACAGAGCAGAAGCAGCTTTCTTCAGAGAAGACTTGCAGCCCCTAGGGACATAAGTTGTTGGGATCCTACTTCTCAGCCTCGTGTTTAAGGTGTTTGTTTTTTAAGACTCAATAAAGGAGTGTTTGAATCACCTCATCAAAACTGCCTGGCATTCTCACTCTCTGTACTTTGGGCCAGGAAGCCGAGACGTAGCCACTGTCCCCTGCGGTCTGATATCCTTTCATTTTCCCAAAGTTCTCCAAAGTTCCAGCCTTCAGACCCTGCCATTCAGTCTAACACCAGGCTCCTATCCTCCTTCCTTCAGCCTGACCAGCGGGCCCCTCTGATCACCCTGCTTTTCACTGTGTTTGATAACCTAATGCCTAGTTGGGAGAAGGATCCAAATAACTGGCCTTAAGAACGTGCAGCACAAAACAAAATGACTTGCGGACAGCTGGTGTCTTCCTTACCTCTTCTGGAAATAGCCACTTAGTCCATCGGCCCACTCTTTCAGCCTTAAAGGGGTGTGTTTGGGACCTAATCTGATCAATTAGAGCACCCCAGGCCTCTGGCTACAGACTGAGCCAATGAAGGCACTTCAGGACTTTGCTGGAATTCTTGCTGTTGAGATGTAAGCTTGGAGCTGCCAGGGGCCCGTGTGTGACCTGTGTGTGAAGTGAACCTTCTGAAAATCTCTGAAGCCAAAGCAAAGGGGAGAAGAGGTCAAGACACTGATGACCTCCTTTGAGGCTCTGGATTCAGTCATGCCTGAGAGGCATTAAAATCACTGAAATTTTTAGTTACACGGCCCAATACATTCTCTCTTTAAATACAACTAACACTAGGGCCGGCCCGGTGATGCAGGAGTTAAGTTTGCACGCTCTGCTTCGGCGGCCCGGGGTTCACCGGTTTGGATCCTGGGTGTGGACCTGTGCGTCGCTTCTCAAGCTATGCTGTGGCAGGTGTCCCACATATTAAAAAAATTAGAGGAAGATGGGCACAGATGTTAGCTCAGGGCCAATCTTCCTCAAAAAAAAAATTACAAACTATACAATAACAAGATACTTAAATACTTCTTTAAAATAAACAAACAAATATATACATAAAAGTAACACTATCACCTGCCATCCAACAGTCCTTAATACACACCTTAAGACAGAAAGGGTGAGTCCTGGTATCTGTTAGAATAACCAACAGTTTATTAAAAGCTTGCTGTGGGGCTCTGTGCCAGCCCCGTAGCTTGGGAGGGGCTCCCATGACTGCCCCCAGGCCTGGGAGCAGCCCCTTCCCTGGTCCTTCCCTTGGTCCCCTGCCCCAGCTCTGATCTCAATTAAAAAAAAAAAGATAAAGGACAAGACGGCACAGGACGTCATACAGCAACAGGGGAATGGAGAGACCCAGGCATCCTGATCCCAGACCCCATCCTGATCCTTCTTTCCTAGGAAGGCCTTTATCTCCCATTCTCCCCACCCCAGGCCCCAGACCTGCTCTGCCACATCCCAGGTCTGGGGGGCCTGGCGACCCCAGTCGATGGCCCCATTGCAGGGGGTAGTATACTTCTTTGAATATAATAGATCTAGACCCACCCTTCCCCTCCCCAAGGGGACTAGATGAATATTTGACACGCACATCTCTCTCCTTTCCTGAAGTTGTGATGGAGAGAGACCCTGGCACCATGGTGGGGAGGCAGGGGCTCCTGGTCAGCCTTGAGGCACCTATGCCCAAGCTGGCCCTGGGCCATTGGCCAGCCCAAGAAGCTCATGAGATGAGGTTTGAGGGGAGCTGGAGCCAACATCCTATCCCCTACCTTTGGGTGGGCCTGGAGCTTACAGCCCTCCAGGATCAGGCTCCACCCACCCCTGCCCCTGCCCCTGCCCCTGCCCCATTCATCTTCCCATCCACCCTTGCACTTCAAGAATAGAAGTGGGAGGAACCATTGAGGATGTGGGAAGCAACACTGGTGCTGCGGCTCAGAGGCCCAGGCACTGCGGCAGCAGGTGGGCCCACGGTGTCACTGCCACTGCCCCCTGAGGCTGCCCGCCGCAAGGGCTGGGGGCTGTTTCTTAGCAGCAGCAGGGCTCCACCACGGGGTGTCCCACTCTGTGCTGGGGGCCCCAGCCAGTTTGGGGGACCTGGGGGAGCCAACAGAGAGGGCTGACGCCAGGCTGGGGGTGGCATGCCTGGTGGAGGAGGACCATGGCTCCAGTGTGCCCCTGAACGAGGAACAGGACGGGAGGGCCAGGCAGGGGCAGGGGGTGGAGTGGGATAGCCCTGGGCAGCAGCCTCAGCTGGGATGCCCCCCAGAGCCATACTGGAGAAGCCAAGCCTCATGCTCTCAGCATCGAAAGCCTCGATCTCACGGGCCTGCCGCTCGAGCAAACTCCGGATTCGCTCGGAGCGCCCTGTCTGCAGGGCCAGCAGCTCTTCCTCCACCTGGGGCACCCAGAACAGAAGTTAGAGAGTCGGGGGCAGCGGGGGCTCCCCTCCCCACCCTGTGCTAGAGGCTGAGCCCTCTCACCCGCTGCTCCAGCAGTGCCCGCCTCAGAGCTACTCTCTGCTCCAGCTCCCGTAGCTCCCTCTCATGTTGACTCTCTGTGCGGATCTTGATCTTGCTCTGGTAAGCATTGAGCAGCTCCAGTTCCTGTTGAAGCTGCTGACGAAGGGCCTGGAACTCTGCCTCCTGGGTCTCATCAAGCCGCAGCTGGAGAATAGGAGGAACTAGTTTTAGGGGCCTCCTCCTTCACCCCCACATCCTCCCCTGCCCCAGGTAGGCCTGGACCCTAAGGTTTCAAGAAGCAGCCAGCCTCAACATCTATCAAAATGAAAGGTCGTCATACCCTGTGACACAGCAATTACACTTCCAGGAATTTATCCCCCAGGTATACTTGCACATGTGCTTGAAGGTGTTCACTGAAGCGTTGTAATAGCAAAATACTGGAAACAACCTAAATGTCCACCAATAAGGGATGGGTTAAATAAATTACGGTATGTTCATACCGTGGGCAAGTCTACGCTGTTAAAAAAAATGAGATAAGTGCACGATATGGAAAGATGTCCAAGAAATATTAGGTGGGAATAGAAGTTAGAGAACAGTATGTAATGTATGATTCCATTTTTGTTTAAAATTTTTATATAATTTTCCAAATAGGTGAGAAAAAAATCTAAAATGCAATTTATTAACAGTTACATCTGAGAGGTGGGATTGGGTGAGGGAATGGCAATGAACAGGGGCACTTTTACTTTTTACACTAAGTGTAAATTTTAAGTGGCCCATTCCAAGTGTTACGTGTGATCATTTTTAGAACAGCAACCTTTAAAATCCTCCAGAAGTCTGAGGAAATCGGCCTGAGGGCCACAATCATTTTGATTTGCTCCCTGTTCACACATTAAACTAACTCAGGCCCAGGAAAAAATTATAGCCACTCTTTCCTTGGTCGTTCTTGGTAGAGTAGGCAGGCAGGCTTTGTCAAGACCTTAAGAAAATACTTCAGAGAGATAATAAAACCATTGCAGAGAATACTAAGAGAGTATCTGAGTTTCCCAAGAACAAAAAATCCCATCTCTGTCCACACCCCCTGACTCCCACTGCCCATAACTAAGCTGGAAATACAGAGGCAACCTCCACCATGCTCCCTCCCTGGACCCCAGGCCTCACCGCCTGTGAGCTGAGCATCTCCGAGATGGACTGGTCATATTGCTCGGCTAGGATTGCCAGCTTGCGGGTCTGTTCTTCCTTGAGCCGCTTGAGGAGGCTCTTGTGCTGAGCTTTGGGCGTCGTCTCCAGCAAGTGTGCCCGTAGAGCCTTGTACTGCCGAGTCTGGATCTTACACGTCTCCTGGAACTGCTTCTTTATCTGCAGCTCCTTAGACTATGCAGTGGACGGACCGAGGGGAGGTGGGGGCAGGGGAGGAGAGGAGAAGGAGAAGGAGGAGGAGGAGGAGGAGGAAGAGGAGGAACAACCAGGGGAGAAGGGGAGATGAGAGAGAGGAGGAGAGGAGACAGAAGCAGAGACAGGGAGAGGGAGAGAAACAGAAAACATGTTAGACAGAGGGGGCGGGGGGAGCTGTATACAGACAGACATGGAGAGATGGGATTGTGTTGAGCAAGATCAGGAAGATTCTCAATAGGCAAGAGATGCAAAGAAAACAAGACAGGTTCCAAGAGCATGTTCACAGAGTCAGGTGGGAAACTCACAAGAAACAGCAGGAGAGTTCATGGACAGGGAAGTGAGAATCTTTTAAAGAGTAGTGAGTGCACATAAGAAGTTTTGACCATGCAAAGAGGGATAACATATGACCTAGAGAAAGAAGCATGTGAGCAGATACAGAATATGCACAAGAGTGAGTAAGAAAACCAAGTTACAACACACCCACGGAAGAGAAGAGAGCTAAGGAAAAGACAGAGGAAGTCTTAGGTTCAGCACCTCAGGATGGGAGGGAGGAAAGGAGGATAAGCACTGAGCTGAGAAATGGATAAGAAGGGGTGGCTCCATGTGGGGCCACATAAGGGAAAGGGGCAAAGGAGGTGGCCAGAAAGGGCCTGACAAGTTCAAGGGGCCAGCAGGTGCCACCCGGACCAGATCTCCACATTCCAGCCTGACTCCTCACGCACTCAGCTCCCACTCCAAGCCCACCACCAATCCCATTTCCACAGCCCCCACTCTCTCTGCCTGGCCCCTCAAACTCACCACCCACTACTGTGGAGGGTTTGCAGTCCCATCCCCCAGCCCTCTAGGGTAACGCCTAATGCCAGGAGAGAACCTCAGTTCCCAGACAGAAGGGAACCACATAGGGATTGGGTTGGGATAAAAGGCAGGGGATGAGGACAAAAGAACCCAGAACCTAAGCACTCTCTGGAAGGAATCCACAAATGAGAACTGCAGGACCAAGAAGTTCTGTGGAAGCTCAACAGGGGCCCAGAACCCTGAGCTGGTGGTGGTCATGGTGCAACGAAGCTATGGAGGCAGAGAGGATGAGGCTGAGGAGTGAAAGGGGTTGAGATAACGTAGATGGGGGTGAAGAGTTCATGGAACTGGGAGCCAAGGGTCCAGATTGGGGGCATACGGGGGAGGCTAGGCGGCAGGACAAAGCAGACAGAGGCAGCCTGGGCCAAAAGTACAGTTCCGCTCAGATATTTTATTTGTGTTTGTCTTTTTCTTTTTTTGG